CGAAGCGAAAAAGGGCGTACGGGGTTTTTTTTCCGCAAAAGCGTGTCTAGATTGGCACGGACGCTTTTCCGCGAAAAGTGCTTTTGCAGAAAAGCGTCCATGCCAATCTAGACGCTCTGTTCTGAAAATGCTTTTAATGGAAAACTTTTCCGTTAAAAGCATTTGCGGAAAATCATGCCAGTCTAGACGTAGCCCTTGAGCTATGTCAATTGAGTAGCTTAAGTTGAAATAGCTTATTTTGGCTTTTGGCACGGCCTACACAGCAGGAAATCCGAGTTAGAGGACTCTTCCTCCAGCTTCCCTTACTCCTTGTAAAATGAGGGTTACAGGAGTCGAAGTAAGAAGTCCTCCAGCTAGACATTATTTTGACATTACATCAAAATAACTATTTGCTGTATAGACGCAGACTATGTTGACGTTACAATATTCCGCAATAACGCTGCTGTGTAGACATAGTCTGAGTCTATTAGAGGACTGCTAAAATATCAGTGTTTTTTCAGTAATGTTTTGAAACACTGCCATCTTGTGGCAGTTTTGAAATATAACATGATTTCCTTTCCCATTTTTATGTTTATGATCTCCTTTCAACATTTTTGAAATTTCAACACTAGCTGTCAGTATTGCAAAAAACATTTAGTATTGCCAACTCTCTGGATTTGATCAGGAGTCTCACAATATTTGGTGTTCTTCTTTAAGCTCTATATTCTGGAGTCAGATGATTACATGAAAATCTCACCTTTCATTTTTTAAAGTAAATTTCTAGACCTTATTGTAGAGGAGAGCTTGAAAGTGTGAACCTAATGGCATCCAAAAATCTGAAAAAACCCCGCTGCATCCAAGGAATGTGTTTGCTCTTCTGCTTTTTTTCGCAGAAGGGCAAATGTGCTCTTGCGGAGAGCCCTGTATACCTCATTTGACAAGGCATGAGGGCTCCACCAAAAGAGGCAGCTTTTCCACCATTTGGTCCTGTCTAGATAAGGACAAATGGCATTCTTCCAAAAAAAAAAAAGCAGAAAAAGCTACGCAAAATGCACTCCACATTTTTCCACAAAAATGTCACAGTCTAGACCTAGCCTTTGACTCCCTGGCCAATTTCATTTCAGCGTACATTAAAGATCCATTCCATTCCGTTGCAATTGCCTGCTAGATGAGACTTCAATAAATTCATTTTCCTATTGTGCTAATGCTTTTCAAAAATTCAGATCAGGAACCAACTCAGTTTATTCCTAAAGCACCTAAAAATGTGCTTCTTAAACACTTTAAAAAGAGAGAATGTAGTGCTTATAATAAATGATATTAAGCATATACTGAAGTTTTATGCAGGTAAAACTCTAAATGAATGGAGTCAATTTAATATCAGGCCCACTTTAAGTATGGAATGGGTTACTTGCTTTTAAAATAACTAACTTTAAAAACTTACATCTTTAAAGAGACAGTGATGTAGGATTTCCACAAACTGATGGAAAGAGATTTCAGTGTCAATCTTCACATAAAGTTTCCTGTAAGTTCTTTCAAAAAGCTTAACTAATCTTCCTCCAAGCACGAACACAAATGTCGAAGTGAATGTTTAGTAGCTGAGAAAGAACTGATTATTTGTGCATTATTGTTTCTCATGACATGATCACACACTCTTGTGGCCCAATTTCATCTACTTTTAAACTATTTAAAACTTTCATTTATCTGTTGACATAGTTGTATAGTCACAGTAGCCTTAATATAGCTTAGCCACTGACTTGTATCGACTTGCTCTCGCCCTCACATCAGGGAAGAGTAGCTTGAGGAGTAAACAATTACAGCGTTATCTTAGCCTGGTCTAAGCGCCAGCGGAGCGTGACCCCGGCCCAGGCGGCTCCCTGGGGCAGAGCATGCGCGTGGTGGAGGGTGATGTTTGTGGCCAGGTGCAGAAGCACCGACCCGCGCGCACAGTAACTGCAACGGCCCGACGACATTCTGCCTCCGCCGAGCGCAAGGCAGGTGGCCAGTAAAAGCGCCCCCCACGCTGAGCGTGGGCTCACGTGACTGCCTGTGTCCCCGGGATAAACTAGCTGCCTGCGCGGCAGACGGACTGTGATGGGACCGCGGCCCCTGTGAGGCAAGAGAGGCGACCTCGGGAGCCGTGGGTTCCGTTACAGAAGCACAGTGGAGCTCCCTGCACTCAACAACTACGCTTGTGCCAAATCCCTTCCCTCTTCTTCAGACTCTTCTAGCGGGCCAGCACCTTGCTACTATCTGTCAGCTGCGAGGGACAGGGGCTGCTGCAGTCTGCGCATGCGCTCTCACGCCCGCTAGCCGGGCGTTATGGTCGAAACGTACCTTTCACTTGCGCGTGCGCTTTTCCTTCTTTTTTTTTTTTTTACAGTTACGCGCATGCGCCGTTTTCCGTACTTTGGACGTAAGCGGGGTTGGAGTGCCGTGCGCAGTGTGGCTATCGCGATACGTGGGTGACCGCGACGCCATCCTACCTGCTCGTTGGCTGCGTAGTCTGCCAAGCGAGCAACACGCCCGTGGGTGAGAAGCGAGAAGGGGGTTCCTTCACCCCGCTCCCCCCGGAGAGCCTAGCGTCGCCGCGCATCGAGGGTGAGGGTCTCCCGGTGAGTACCGGGAGGAGGGCCCGAACCAGCCGCA